AAAAAAAAAAAAAAAAAAAAAAGAGGAATGCTCTTGCCATTGACTTTGGTGTTTAGTATGAGGTAGGGGGTGGTCAAGATATATTTATTTGTTTTTGGATATCCGGTTAATCCATAATCATTTATTGAAAGGTGCATTCTTTCAATAAACTGGGCATTAATTGTGTTTGCATACTTCTTGGTGTTACCTTCACCACAAATTAAGTGTTCATAAAAAAAAATTTTTTAAAAAAGGTCTGAATTTGGATTCTCCTATCTGTTGCACTGTTGTACGTAACAAAAAACCTTTTGGTAAATTCCTTTCTGTTTAATTAGCCAGAAATCAGCTTCTGTTCCTTTTAATCAAGAAGCTTTATCCTTGAACTTCTTCATAAGATAGCATTTGTTCCAACAGTTTCAAATTACCAGCCAATACTGAAAATCTCAACAAGGAAGTCATTCCTAGAAACCCTCTGGGCATGAAACTTGTATATTCACACATCTTTATGACATCTCTACTTGAAAACTTTAAAGGTAACTTTAACTAGAATAATTCCTATTCACATTTTAGGATTCAGTTTTAAATGTTCTCTCCTTACGAAATAACAATGTCCTTATTCATCCGGGAGGTTATATTCCCATGCATCTGTACCCAGGTGTCTTGCTCCAAGATACATGTCCCAGGCTCAATGAACTATCTGCATAATTATTTTAAACATTTATTGGGCCAGGGATTTAGCTCAGTGATGCTGCCACCTGCCTTGCAAGTGCAAGGTTCGAGTTCTACCACTGGTACAAAAAAAAAAAATTTATTCCTTCATTAAGTTGTAAGCTATGTGAGAAAAGCAACAGTGTGTCATATTCGCTCCTATACCCTTTCTACCTAGCTTGCAGTCATTGGCCTATTTGTTATAAAGAATGAAGAAAAACTTGCTACCAAATCCTCCTCCTTCAGCTAACCTTCACTCTTTTTCTTCAATAAAGAAATGCCTCACTTCCTGTCATTCACTCCACCTGTGTCTTAGTTGCCCCCCCGTACCTTTTCTGAATCCTTGAACTACCAATCTTCTTTGATTATCTTTTATTTTACTTTCACGACTAAATTTCCATTGACAAAAATTCCCTTTTTTACTTTAATTATGAGGATTTTAAAATATCACTCAATTTAATAATTGTTGCTCTTCTTTATATATGCTTTATGGTTTCTCTGCTTAAAGTAAATTAATGGTGCTATATTTCATTCCTAAAATATTTTATACACAGTTGGAAAAATAAAAACATTTTCCCCATATGCAGTGGTGCATGCCTGTAATACCAGCACTTTTTGTAGACTGTGGCTGGAAGATTCCAAGCCGGAGGTCAGCCTGGACTTTACAGCAAGATCTGCTCCAATCGAACAAACAAAAAAGCATTTCCCTATTTAACTATAATATATAATACCATCATCACACATACAGAGATATTTTACAGTGATTCCTTAATGTCATCTAGTACCTCATAGGCCAGTGGTGGAAAATCTATGGCACACTAAAAGGTTCACTATCACTGTTGTAGGCCATATTCAAATTTCATCAAATGTTCTTGAAATACCTTTTATAGGTATTTGCACCAGGATTCAATCAAGGTTCACAAACTACTTGTGAATACCTTCCTTACACCCATTTCTCTATCTCTGTCTCTTTTTTTGTCCTTATATTTTGTATAACTGTCTTACTGGACCAGGCTCTCCCCTTTCTCATTCTTTGGGGCACTGGTTTGTTGGAAGTCACCTGGCTAGGGATAGTTCTCACTGTCGCTGCTCACATACCTCAAGTCTTTCCTGTCTAAAAGCAAAACAAAACAACTACCATAAAATACATCCTCTTCAACCTACTTTTTCTTCTCTTCCATCAATGATAAAATTAATCTTGTTTCCATTTTATCAATTTCCATTTACTTCTCATATCAATTTATATTTTGCCCACAGCTACAACTGCTCTTTTAAAAACACCAATGATTCCAATTACTCTAAATACTTAAGACTCTTTTCAGTTATCTTACATGGCTTTTCAACCACATTTTACTATGGTACCAACTGTCCTTCCTCAAACATCCTTGACTTTGGCGAAACCTCGGTAAGTTTACCAACTCTGTTTTGTCCCTTCAAGTTTCCTGTCAGCTCTTCTCCCACTACCTAAACACTAAATACTAAAGAGATTCCAAGACTGCCGTGAGTATAAATTCTATTTGTACTCTAGTCTTTCCCTGAATACTTTTCTACTCACATGGTTTCATTTAACATCTGTGATTGACAAACTCAAATTTCAATTCCCACCTTGACTTATGTTTCTGATCTATGGACTTAAATCGAATGATTATTCTACATACCCACTTGTATATCTCATACAAAGGTCAAACTCAGCAAATCCAAATCTTATTTCATTACATATTTAATTCTTTATCCACCACTACTCCCAATTTTCCTTTACTAGATCCTCTCCATTGAAAATAATTTCTTTAATTAAGAAGATTTAAAAACATAATTTAATAATCATTACCCTTTCATCTTATATATTACTCTCTAATGCAGTACTATTCTCACTCAGTGGCTTAATCCAGAGACCCCTAAGAGATCTTTGACTTTATCTTCTCTCCCTCATTTCCAAAGTCCAACATTATGTTCTCCCTCTTCTATCTTTAAAGTATCTTCTAGTCTGTATTAGTTTTTTAGGGCTGCCATAACAAGCACCACATATTGAAGTTTATTAAAACAAATTTATTCTCTCAGATTTGGATGCCAGAAGTCCAAAGTCAAGGTGCCAACAGGACTGGTTCCTTCTGGAAGCGCCGAGGAATAATCTCATCCACGCCTCTCCTAACACCTGACAGCTGCTAGAAATCCCATTAGGATTCGGTGGTTTGTAGCCACACCACATATAATCTCTGCCTGTTGTCCCACTGACTTCTTTCCTCAGTGTGTCCATTTGTGTACTTCTGTATCATATTTCATATAAAGATACCAGTCACTGGATCTAAGATCCAATATCTAACCTAGTATGGTTTCTCAATTTGATTATGTGTGCAAAGACCTTGTTTCCAAATAGCCACAGGTATCAGGAGTTAAGACTTCACCATTTTTTCTTTTATAGACACAGTTCTTATACAGTACAGTAGTAAAGAGTCTTTGAGGTCAGAATGCCTAGTTCCACCATTTTCCATCTGTCTGATCTTGTAAAATTTACCTACTCTCTGAGTCAGGAATACCATCTGTAAAGCAGAAATGAAAACAGTAAGGATCTCAAGAGTTGCTCTGTGAGTTTCACAGGTTAATACTACATGTAAAGCATGATACAGATCCTATACATAGTGACTACTACGTAACTTCAGGTTATTGTTAAACCCTCTCATCTTTACTTCCCTTACTCAGAATGGTTCTTCCCACATGTACTTCTTTCCCTCCCAATGTGTTCTCCATAATACAGATGAAAGGAACTTGCAAATAACAAAAATCCAGCCCCATCACTACCTTGCTTGACTGTTTTCATCTGCTTTAGAATTTCCAGCACCAGCTCTACACCACACATGGCTCTCCTCAGCCCACCACTCCTTAACCTTCACCTAGTTAATATTTACTCATCAGATTTCAGGTCGAACATATTTTCTGCAAGGTTTTGGAGATTCTCAAATTACCATCACCCTGCATTTCTCTTTCATGATACTCTGCACACTTGTTCTCGTTATTTATTTTTATTTTTATTAAATTCCATTAGAAGAGCAAGGCAACTGCTACAGCTTTGGCTATTACATGGGCCCGGTACATAGTTTGAGCACAAAAATAAATGTGCTCAACAAATTTTTTCTTAAGTAATAAATGAATCAGTCTTGAGTTTTAACGATTCGCACCGTCATATGTGGTATGTTACGACATATAATTCGCATCATGCAGTATCCGGTCTCAATTCTGCCTTAGCAAGAAGCAGCCTGTCAGGCTGGCATGATGATTACTTTGTGTCATCTTTGCACAGCCCCTACAGGCGCCCAATGAGCTGTTCTAAACATAGTGGGCTGTTGGTTGTCCTACTAACTCCCATATCTTCCCCCTTATTATCCCCAAAGCGCAAGAACCCTTATTTGCCCTCCATCAGCCCATTCTAACTACCAAAGTCCTAAAAGGAGCCACGCTTGCCCCTCGAGCCCCCAACTCTAACTCAAAATTCAGACTCCTACGTTTTCGTACTTTTAAGTCGGTAACTGAAAAATGCAGTGAAATTATCGACCCAAGCCAATCTCAGGCAGGGGCGTCCGGGTCTTACCTCTTATCCTCCCACCCCCAAAGCCCTGCACATTGTGGGCGTCTATTTGTTCAACAGCCATTGAGCGCAAACCTGATGAGAGGACAGTGGCTCGGCTTGCCTCCTAAGGAAGCGACCACCTCACCCCAAGCAGCGGGCCCAGCCACCACCTGACCTAACCCGGGCTGTTCCCCCGTGTGGCCCGATTCGGTCCGCGCCTCCCGGGCTCAGCTGCCACCTCAACCCGCCCACGCGGCCTCACTCACTGTTCTTGAGGAAGCGCTCTTCGTGCAGTACGGCGATGGCGTTCACGCACAGCAAGGCCGCCTGCAACAGCGAGTATAGGGTAAAGGCCATGGTTACCCGCAGCCGCCCAGAGGTCTCACGAATTCTTCTGCCGCCGCCGCAGCGGACGTGGCAGCACCGTCGCCGCCTAGGCTCTCTTACGGGTGCCGATAGGGCTCAAAACGCGCTCCGGGAAAAGCTTTGCCTTCTTCCGGCTAAAATCCGCCCTGCTCTGACGTACCTAGTTGTCGGCGGTAGTCCTACGCTGTAGTGGTTTGCCGGCTATGGAGCGTTTGAAGAGGCACGGGTCCTGAATGAGAAAGACTGCAAGTATAAAATACACACGAAAAGCCGGTCGTGCTGGTAAAAAGCTGTAATCCTAACACTTTAAGAAGTTGAGACAGGAGAATCGTAAATTCGAGCCCACCCTGGACCGCTTTGCAATTTAGGAAGAAACCCTGTATTTAAAAAACAAAACAATAACAAAAAATGCGCTGCGGATAGGATGTAGCCCAGTGCAGTGAACCTTTGTTCAGTCTCCAGTGTAAACGTCTAAAAACAAACATTAACATAGTTTGCATCCCTAGGATTACACCAGGCCCCCCTCATGTGCTTGCTCAAGAAAGCTCTAGGCTGCCTAAAGAATTTACTGTTCTACCCAATACCTAAGGATAGCTACACTTTCTACTGCATTTATAGAAAAGGGATTGCAATTAGGAATCCTCCTTCTGTCTCTGAGATGTACATATACACCTATTAGAGCTTGGGAGCTTTTTCTCTAGGACCTGAATGCCATTCCTTTAAAAAGTAATCATCAGGAAAGAGCCTATTATCTCAGTCGCCTATATCTCAGTCTCCAGTGCAGGGAATACAACCCTAACTTTGACAATTGCTAGCTGGCAAAAAGAGCTGGTCTGTTTGATTTACATTGACCAATCCTTTTTAAATTTCCCTGACTCTACCTAACCCCTGGTGATCCCCTTCCTCCTGACCCACATTAGCCTTTTTCTTGGTTCAATTTACACTGGGCCCTCTCCCTATTGTACTACATTACTAACTGTCCTTATCACTTATCCTTATCTAACTCTATCCTTATCACTTTAACATCTGGTTTTGTTTTAACGGTATCAGAAACTGAGTTAGACTGTGTTAAATTTTAGAGATTGTTGGAAAGCAAATATAGAAAGCAACACTTTCTGAACTTCTTAAATTTCCCTAAGATAGGAAGGAAAGTACCATATTCAATTCCAGAAAAGACTTTGGAAGCCTATGTGTTGCTGCCACTGGAAGAGAGACTGAACAAAAAAGTAATAGTTAAACTCTCAAGAAGAAATTAATCTTAAATAGGCTAAGTAGGTCGCATTTACAGAAAGAAAGAGATATGTTATTTCCCACAAATGTACATAAATACGATCTCCAAAGTCTGGCCCTAAATGCAAGTCAGGTAGAGTGAGACACATGAAAATAAAATAAAGGGAATAAAATAAGCAACAGGATATCAACAGATCCTCTGGTTCTCCAAGGCCCACATAACTGTAGACACTGATGTTGATGTGCTTTAGTCTGTTCAGACTGTTATAACAGAATACCATAGATTGGAAGGCTTATAAACAATAAATTGACTTCGCACAGTTCTGCAGGTTGGAAGACTGAGATCAGCATGGCAGCTTCTGGAAATGGTCTTTTCCTGGGTGTAGATTGCCAACTTCTCATTGTATCCTCTCACGGTAGACTCAGTGGAATCAAGGTTTTATGGGACTCTTACCTGGATACTAATCACATTTGTAGATCTCTGCCCTCACATAATCTCATGTAATCATAATTACACCCTAAAGGCTTCACCCCCATAGTGCCATAACATATGGGGTAAAATTTCAACATATGAATTTTTGCAGGTCCACAAGCATTCCATCCATAAGCATGAAAGAAAGTTGTTCCTGAACGTGGAAAATGGTCATGCTAAGATTTTTGCATTGGGCTGAGTGAAGAGAAGGGTACCTAGGAGAACTTGTCTGGAAGCTTTTCTTGAGCAGTAAATCACAGTTTTTATTAGATTGTTTACTGAGTAAAGAGAGTTGAAGGGAAATGTTATGGTTTGAGTATGATTTATCCCTACAAAAATTCATTTTGAATCTTGTAACTGTGTTGAGATGTTAGGATCTTTATCAGATAATTAGATCCTGGTGGCTTCACCTTCATAAAGGACTTAATGTAGTTACTGTGGAAATGGGTTGATTTTCATAAGAAGTGATTACTATGAAGTGAGTTTAGTTTTCCTTGGTTCTCTCATCATGTGTCTGCTTGCTTTCACTTTTCATCAACAGGCTGCAATCAGATGTTAAACAGGTGCCAGTTTCATGTTCTTCCAGAACCTTAAGCTAAGGAAAAAAAAAAGATGTTTTTAAAATAAATTATCCAGCCATGGGTATTTTGTACTAGCAACAGAAAATGGACTAAGATAGAGGATGCATATATGGAGAGAAGGTAGAAGTTGATACAGCCTACCTCGGCTACCTTTTCTTCCTGCCACTGGATTACAAATCACATGATCTGTATGTGTCTTTTTTTTTTTTTTTAAATTGTCAAAAGAATCAGGTTAACTTCTCTGGGCCTCTGTTACTCCATCTATAAAATTAGGCGATTATGATCTCTCAGGCCCCCTGAACTCCAAAAATCTCTAGATCTAGCAAAAGCTGCTTAAAAGATGAGAGTATACAAATACTACTACTACCACGTTATCTGATTTATTTTTGAAAATTCAGACTTGCAGCCTAAGCTGCTAATAGCAGATTATATCCTTTAAAAAATTATTCCTTTGATATTTTATTTTCACAGAAATTCAAAAGCCTAGGAATTTTATTATATATTTAGAAAGTAGTTATCACAGTAAAAAACAAACAAAACAAAGCAAAAACAAAAACCAATCCTAAACAAAAAAACTACATAAAATGAATATTCTGTATCTTTGCAACTTAAAAACAATTTTTGTTTGTTGTGATCTATTTAAAATTAGAACTCACCCCTTGTTGTTGAGTTTCTGATATCTATTTGATAAGGTTTTCTGAATTCATGTTAGTTACTTTATGAGAAGGTTATGTTGGGGATAAATCTTTTTCCCCAAAATTTAGGCATAAATTCATGCCATTTTCTTCTTCAAGATATATTGTTTTGGTTTGGTTTGTCTACTTTTTCTCTCTGGGCTGATAGATGGCACATTTTGCCATCTTAGACCATCTTGCTGTTTTTGTAACTGTCAATATAATTAGTGTTTTCATTCCTTTAACAGGAAGCAAAGAATTAGTGCTTTCAATAACTGTTTCCTTCGGGAAAAGGCGAATAATGATTAAGATTATGACTTGGATAATCTTTATCTTTAATCCTCATTAGATTAAGGGAGCAAGGTAGATGTAGGATTCAAATTTGAAATTTTAAAGATAAATGCTCCAGGGCCAGGGATTTAACTCAGTGGTGCTGCTGCCTGCCTTGCAAGCACAAAGACCAGCGTTCAATCCTTGTACAAAAAAAAAAAAAAAAAAAAAAAAAA